GCTAAAAGAGAGGACTAGAGGAACGAGATGGAAGATGAGGAAGAGCCAGATGGGGAAGAACAAGATGAGGAAGAGCCAGATGAGAGAGAAGGAAAAGGGAGAGGAGCTGATAGGGGAAAGAACTAGATAGATGAGAACCTAGAAGGGACAGAACTGATAGGGGAAAGAACTAGATAGATGTGAACCTAGAAGGGACAGAACTAGATGAAGGAATTAAGATAGAACTTAGAGGGGACAGTAGATATATATAGAGAAATCAGGCAAGAAAGGAGCTAGACATGAGAACAGAACTGAAGCTGTGTATAAAGGATGTTATGCCAAAAGAATTAAAGCGAATGGACCAAAGAACTCTGCGTGCGTAGACTGATTTACCGACCTTAAAGAATAGATTCTCAGCTGGTTGATAGAGCCTTCCGCGGACCCTGGAAAGGAGACTATTAGGGCTGGACCCCAATAGTCCCCAAAAATCTACATCCCCAGACCTCAAAATAAAATTATAAACATCTTTGTTCTAACATATCTCCCACCTAATACATTTCTCTATGCTCTTTTTTATTTCTTTTTTTTTAAATGAGGTTTATTTATTTTTATTTTATGTGTATAGGTGTTTTGCCTGCATGTATGCTCTGTACCATCTGTGTGGCAGTGCCCATAGAAGCCAGAAAAGGGTGTTGGATGCCTTAGAACTGGAATTACAGACAGTTATGACCCACCATACAGGTTATGGGAATTGAACTCAGGTCCTCAGGAAGAGCAGTCAACTTTCTTAACCTCTGAGTGATCTCTTCAGCTCTTCTTGCTTTCCTTCCTTATTTCTTTCCTTTACGCTTTCATTATTTGCACCATTTCCATCCCTCATTCTTCTTTCTCTTACTCCTTCCATGTCTCCTTCAGATTCGCTTTCATATTCATAGCCTCTTCTTCTTCAATCATTATTGTTACATACATGTATACACACACACACACACACATATGTACAATACAGAATCCATTTAATGTTGTCATATGTATGTGTGTTTGGCCTAACCACTTGGTATTGAATAACCAATGAGGGGCCTCATCCCTAGGGAAGACTGATTCTCCTCTTAGCAGCCATTAATTACCTGGAGCTTTTCATCTAGGCTTCATTGTCTAGAGATCTTCGTTGTCTCATACACACTGGCATGTCAACTGGTGTTATCATTTTGCTGGTCTAATTTAGGTGACCACAGTGTTGGGACTTTTTGTTTACAACTTCCCTGTCATATGTAAAAGATAGCCTCTCACAGCACACATCCTGACCCACTGGTTCTTATCCTCTTTCTGCCCCCTTTTCTGTGACTCTCCCTGAGGCTCCAGCATGGGAATTGTGATGTAGATGCATCAGTTGGGGCAGCCACTCAAGGGCCCATTGTTCTCTGCATCTTGACCATTTGTGGTTATTTGTGATGTTCTACATCTGTTACAAGAAAAAAGCTTCTCTTTTGTAGGGCAAAGGACACAGTCAACAAGACAAAATGACAGCCTACAGAATGGAAAAAGATCTTCACCAACCCCACATCTGACAGAGGGCTGATCTCCAAAACATATAAAGAACTCAAGAAATTAGACATCAAAATACTCAACAGTCCAATTTAAAAATAGGCTATAGAGCTAAACAGAGAATTCTCAACAGAAGAATCTCAAATAGTTAAAAGACATTTAAGGAATTGCTCAACATCCTTAGTCATCAGGGAAATGCAAATCAAAATGGCTATGAGATATCAAAAACAGTAAAGACATCTTATGCTGGAGAGGATATGGAGCAAGTGGAACACTCCTCCACTGTTGGTGGGAATGCAAACTTGTACAGCCACTTTGGAAATTAATATGGCACTTTCTTGGGAAGTTGAGAATCAACCTCCCTCAAGACCCAGCTATACCACTCTTGGGCATATACCCAAGCAATGCTCAATCATACCATAAGGACTCATGCTCAACTATGTTCATAGCAGCATTATTTGTAATAGCCAGAACCTGGAAACAACCTATATGGCCCTCAACTGAAGAATGGGTTAAGAAAATGTGGTATATATACACAATGAAGTACGACTCAGCAGAGAAAAACAATGACATCATGAGGTTTGCAGGCAAATGGATGGAACTAGAAAAAAAATCCTGAGTAAGGTAACCCAGACTCAGAAAGACAAACATGGTATGTACTCATTCATAAGTGGATACTAGATGTAAAGCAAAGGATAACCAGACTGCAACTTACAATTCCAGGGAGGCTACCTAGTAAAGAGGACCCTAAGAAAGACACAGGGATCATCCAATGACAGAGAAATGGATGAGATCTACACGAGCAAACTGGGAGTTGGGGGAGGGGTAATAGAGGGCAAGGGTCAGGACAAAGAGAGCTTAGGAGAGCAGGAGGTCCCAGATAGATCAGGAACAGAGTGGGAGAACAGGGAGGGACATACCATGATGAATGAGGACCCCAGGGAAATAGGAAGAACCAGAGTGCTAGAGAGGTTCCCAGAAATCCACAAAGATACCTCCACTGTAGACTACTGGCAACGGTCAAGAGAGTGCCTGAGCTGACCTGCTCTGGTGATAGGATGGCCAAACACCCTAGCTGTCATGATAGAACTCTCATCCAGTGTCTGATGGAAGTGGATGCAGAGATTCACAGCCAAGCCCCAGGTGGAGCTCCAGGAGCCCAATCGGCGAGAGAAAGGAGGGATTGTATGAGCGAGAGATATTGAGACCATGATTGGAAAAAGCACAGGGACAAATAGCCAAACTAGTGGAAATGCATGAACTGTGAACCAATGGCTGAGGAGGCCCCATGGAATTGGAGCAGGCCGACTGGATAAGTGAGACAGTTGATTAGCTTAAGCTGTTGGTGGCCCCCAGGCAGTGGGACTGGGACTTCTTGGTGCATGAGCTGACATTGGAGCCTGGGGCCCATGCTGGGATACTTTGCTCAGCCTTGGTGTAGGGAGGAGGAGACTGGACCTGCCTCAGCTGAGTCTACCAGGCTGGGCTGACTCCCCAGCTGGGGAGACCTTGCCTTGGAGGAGGTGGGAATGGGGGTGGATTGGGAGGAGGGCTGAGGGGTGGGAGGAGGGAGGATGGGGGAATCCATGGCTGATATGTGAAATTAAGTTAATTATAAAATAAAAATACTATTTTTTTTTAAAAGAAGCTTCTTTGATGAGGGGTTGTGATGGTATTGTGTTCCCCAAAATATTGTGCACTCTAATAAACTTATCTGGGGTCAGAGAACAAACAGCCACTAGATAGAGAGGTTAGAAAATGGTTGCACTCACACCTTTAATTTTAGCATTCCAGAGGCAGAAATCCGTCTGGATCTCTGTGAGTTCAAGACCATATTGGAAACAGCCAGGCATGGTGACACGCACCTTTAATCCCAGAAAGTGAGCTTTTAATCCCAGGAAGTGAGGGCAGAAAGCAGAAAGGTATATAAGGCGTAAAAACCTGGAACTATGCTGATTAAGCTTTTAGGCTTTTGAGCAGCGGTTCAGTTGAGATTCATTCTGGATGAGGACTCAGAGGCTTCCAGTCTAAGGAAGCAGGATCAGCTGAGGAATTGGCGAGGTGAGGTGGCTGTGGCTTGTTCTGCTTCTCTGATCTTCCAGCGTTCATTCCAATTCCTGGCTCCAGGTTTGTTTTTATTAATAAGACCCTTTAAGATTCCTGCTACAGGCATTTAGTTAGTTAGTGTTTTGAGACAGTCTTACTCCACAGCTCAGAATAGTCTGGAATCCATTACGTTGCTCAGGTTGGCTTTGAACTTGTGGAAATCCTTTTGACTGGGCCTCTCCAGTTCTAGAATTACAGAGTTGAGCCACCATGCCCCACTTTGTATGTTTTTTTGTTCGTCCATTCGTTTGTTTGTTTGTTTGTTTTAGTAGCGTGTTGGCAGTTTCGCATTGGAATGCGGAGGCTCGCCAAGGAGTGAGTCCCAGTTCTGAGATATCTAAGCCAGGACATCAGTGCGTCTGAGTAAAGTTGGGAGGAAGTGAACTAATATGTGAGAATGGCTACATAGTAGGAGTTAGGTGGATTCCAGGAAAGAACAAAGGACGATGGTCCAGGCCCACTATGTACAACAAATGGCTTAAGGTCAAGAGAGGGAGGTGACATTCTTCTGACACCTCAAGGGAAAGGGCAGGGGGCAGGGAGAGCTGGAGAGTGGGACATCTGGGTTTGAGGAAGGATTACACAACTGCTTTTCCCTCCCTTCTGAACTCCTTTGAATAGGCATTCTCAGAAGCCGTCCTTGAATATAGCGGCAGCCATTATTTTATCTCCAATTATAAGTCATAAAAACAAGCCAGGGTTCTAGTACTCCTCCTCATCCTCTCATTTTTCCAAGATTAACATGCAAAGAGGGTCAGAAATAAGAGCTATGTGTTTCCACAGGAACTAGGATACAAATGAAACACTGTGTTTAGTCATGTGCATTTATTAAGTTGTTTTCATAGGGCTGGTACCAAGGGAGTGCTCACACAGTGTCCCTGGCAAACAAGAAGCCAAGGGCTCAGCAGTTGTTATGGTTACTAGGGTTGGTAGCCCAGTGCAGGCCAATGGCAGTGATGTAGTTATTCGCTCGGCCACTGATGTATCGAAGTACACTGTTAGGATGCAAAGGAACAGCATTGAAACTTATGCCTGTTTCTCCTCCAAAAGACAGGTGGCGGCCCATGTTTGTGATGAAGACCAGCTTCCTGAGACAGTGCTTGTATTTGCCGGACACCTGAATCACTGATTCCCCAGGGTGCAGAAAGATCTCTTCCAAGTCTCCACGGGTGCCTCCTACAGGGTCACTCCACACCCTGCCATAGCGGACCTGGAGCCTGGGGGCAGAGATGAGAAGGGAAGGAAGGGAAACTCTGAACAGGGTTATCCAAATTCAGGACCTGTTGGTCTATTTGATGAGACTTTCAAAGAGGTAACAGAGCAGACAAGTTCCCTGCAACGTCCCCACCCCGGATATGAATGGTGGGTGATCCCTAGAAGATCATACGGAGAACTTTAGCCAACAACACGAACAGAAGGAGCTATCTGAGGAGAGGCAACAAGAAAAGATGGAGGCTAGCTGATGAGGGAACTGGAAAGAGACAGACCAACAAGTTCAGTTTGAGGCCCCTAAGAATTTATGATTACATGGCTTTTCAGCTTCATGCATATTGTGGGAAATAGTCAAAAAAACAAAACAAAACAAAAACCTATAGGTCTAGAATCTAGGTCCTCCAACATTTTACCAGCTCGTGTATTTACCTGTGATTTGTTGATTTAACGAGACATGATTCAAAGTAAATGAGAACTTCTCAATTTAGTACCATCCACGATAGGCACCCCCGCCCCAAACCACAGGAATGTGAAGAATCTTACCCTATGATGTGGTATGTGTCGGCTCGAACACGGATGGCAGTGATGGGGCCTTCCATCTGGTTGCCAGAATGACTGAATCGCTTTCCTTGAACACCTCCATATTCCCCATTATAAGAGGAGGACTTGGCCTGAACTAGAGGGGGAAAGCAGTTGGAGGTAGAAACACCCCAGAAACCCAGTTGCTTCCCACCATCTTTATTCTTCCCACCAGTCTAAGCCAGTGTTTGAAAGCCTCGACTAACAGTATTGCAAGAGCCATTCTCCCTAGGATCCCATTACCAGGCACCGTACTTACTCTCATTGGCAGAGGCTGAGACACAAAGAAAGGCTAGGAGAGCGATGGCCAACATTCTGAGACTGGAGTGGGAAGAAAGGGAAAGAAGAAAGTTTATCAATTTCTACCTGGACTTCATTTACCCAGGCATCCCTGGCTTTGCATGTAGACCAAGGCTTTTTAATTCTTCAATTTAGATCTAGCCGATGCAGCCTTGAGCTTAGAGGAGAGTGCGCTGGCAGTCTTGTGCCTTCCTGATGCTGTCTCTTGAGTCCTAATTCCCTTGGTCTGGCTGTAGCTACCATTTCTTTCCCAATCCAAAAGATCAGTCTTGACATTCTGTTGGATTATCTAAGTTGAGCCTCATCCCATCTTGGCACAAAGCAGAAAAGTCCTCAAGAGAAAGCAGAAGCTGTTTCTAAAGCATGGAGATGATGAAGTTCACCAACCCAAGAATCTGAGCAAACTTGCCTGTGTGAGAGAGTAGCCTGACTGATGAGGTGTGTGAGGTGTAGAGGTTAACTCTCTACCTTTATCCTACTGTTGAATCAGGGGAAAGAGCATTTAAAGGAGCCTCTGTGCCACCCAGGAAATGAGGAGAGTGACAGAAAAGACCGTGCCAGCACCAGTGTCCAAGCAGTTCTGGTGTAGCTGGGATAGGCTGAGAGGGTGCAGAAGTGGGAACAAGCGCAAGACATTAGATCCCAAGCATCCAGCTGTCATAATCCCACCAGTCAAATCTGGCCGTTCCCATCCCCTGAGCATCCCTGATATCCTCATCCCTTTAGCTGAAACCAGAAGTTCCTGCCCTCCAAACTAGCTGAGTTCGAGGTGCCGATGTTCAAGTCTCCCCTGCCACAGTCCAGCCATTCTCTTCTCTGGCAAATATTTTAGAATTCTCCCCACTCCCTAAACTCACTCCTTACCTGGAAGTTTCAGATGCCAAATAACCGCCCAGAATTTTTCAGATCTTTTATATCAGATCCAAGCCCTCCCACTGTGCTCTATCAAGTAAACTTCAGTCCCAGAACAAATATGATCAACCTCTTAAGATCAGGTATCAGACAAGGTCTGATGTATCTTAATTTGCCCTTCCCTACAAGAGTCACAGGTGGCAAGGTGGGGTCAACTCCCAGCACTATGACAAATTTCAGGATAGGCGGAAAAACTAGGTTAAAAAAATAAAAACCACAATAATTTTAAAAGTAATCTTTTATGAGAAGAAAATTAGACCTTACGAGTCTATATTACTAGACAGATCTTCCCACCTAGGAATCTGATAAATGAATTTAGCAAAATATATAATATAAAATTATACATGTCCTATATCATTACAGAATTTTGAAAAACACTGATAATGTGTATATGAGCAGGTAAGTTGTTTTCTGAGTTGCTGGTCACACGGGTTTAAAAGTGTATCCTTTGTGTACCACCTCCTGAATAGTGATACTGTTAGGACAGGCCCAGATGGTCCATTCTTGTTTATCAAATGACCAACCTTTAGCCCATAGAGGGAAAAAAAATGAGAGCACCACAGTCAGCTTTATTAAAACTCACATTGCAAAGAAATTCATGATTCAGCCATCCACCTAGACATAGGGGCTGATTTTCGTTTCGCCTGGCAGAGAGGGAGAAGGTATCAGAGTTCAGCTTCTTTGTATATGGTAAAGACTCTTTTGGGAGAGCCTAAGAGTCAGCTTGGGCAGTTGAACAGTTGAATTTAACCATTAATAAAAGTGAGAGTCAGCCGCAGCACCAACCCGTTGATCCAATCACGTGCGAGGAAATTAGGAATTCCAGAGGTAAACATTGCACGTGTCCCTTGAGAAATGTAGGAAGGATGCTAGGGATGGTGGTGCCTGCCTTTAATCCCAGCATGAGAGCAGAAGCACGAAGACCTCCTTGAGTTTAAGGCCACACTGGTCAAGAAAGAGAAAGGCAGGGAAGAAGTGTGGCTAGAAAGATGACTCGGTAGTTAAGAACACTCAGTAGTTAAGAAACTTGTAAAGGACCCAAGTTTCATTCCTAGCACCTGTGTCTGATGGTTCCCACTGCTTATAATTTCAGTTTCAAAGGGTCTGATGCCCTCTTCTGGCTTCCATGAGCATCTGCACACATGTGGCATACACTCACTCACTCACACACACACACACACACACACACACACGGTTGAAAACAAAGCAAATCCTTTTTGTAAAGTTGGTTGTGAAACTAGAAAAGATTTAAAATAGACACGTGTATAAACATGCATATAAAAGTATGTTGGAGTAGAAAACGAACTAGCGAGCACTCAGCAGGAACAGAAGAAAAGCATGACTGGACACATTCAGGAAGAACAGCTTCGGCATCTCTTCTGGGAGCTGTACAACAGGGACAGTGCTGAAAGCGGCAACTTCTTTATGTTAGGACGTAAGGGAGTGTGGAGGTCAAGGGAATGTGGTTCCCAGTAGTGGACTACAGGTAGGCCTATGTTGGAGCTGGTGGGGTGTAGGCTCACAAGAACAGATTGTTAAATTTCTACACACATCCACAGATGAGTGTTAACCCATGTGCTGTCAGTCAGATCCCCGTTGCTATAGTAAAACACCTGACATAACTTTTTTTAAAGAAGGGGAGAAAATGTGTTAGCTCACAGTTTTGACGATCCAGGCCAAGAGTGGGGAGATGGACTGTTGCTTTGAGTCTCTGAAGAGAGCATACATCATGACAAGAGTGTACAATGGGACAAAAACAGGAAGCAAAGAGGAAGAGGAGGACAGGGCCCCACAATCCCCTACAAAGGCATGACCCTCGTGACCTTAGTACCTCCCAAAAGTCCTCACCTGCTAGAGGTCCCAACAGCAACTAACTGGATGCCAAGTTTTTAACACACAAACCGTTGGAGGACACTTATCCAAACCATAGCAAGAGTGTTGTTGAAACTGATCATGTGGGAAATTTACATCTTGAATCTCTGGGCTTCTTCCTTTTCTTCATAAAATGCAAACTGCTAAAATTTTTGCCCACCACTGGCTACCGCTCAAGATTGATGTATAAGAAAATTAGCTATACAATGAGAAGAAGGTGAGAATCCAACTGTGAAAGCCACAGAGGACCGGACCTGTTGAAGACACAGAGGGCTCATTGCATGGAGGCACTGTGTATAAAGTAATTGAATAAAAACAGAGGAAAACAGGGACAGATAATAAATCAAACAAGAATAAAAGAAAACAATCTCATCTGCCTTGGAAAGAAACTAGCCGGACAGGGAAGAAATTTGAAAAAAAAAAAAAAAAAACTGGGATGAGAGACGCTTTATAATCGAAAGAAGAAAATAACTGGATATCCTAAACACTGATATGCCTCGATGTCTAAAACACACCTTCATGATCATTATCATACTTGATCCTAGCCAAATCTGCAAGGAAGGTCTTCTCCTTGTAAGCATGGAATTCAGAGGCCAAGGGACATTTCAAAAGTTACATACCTAGTTCCTGGGTGAAATCTGCCAACATCCGTGGTTACATTTAGTGACACTCTAACCTCTTACTATAAAACTAGTGAGTCAGAAAAAGATATATAATACACAATACATGTTCTTGAATTTCAGGCTTCATAATCCTTTAAGGTAACTGGCAAATGTTAGCAGAGGGAGTGTCTATCATTCACTGGGAGATTCTTAAGAAGCCGTTGAAAGGAAGACTGAAATAAAACACTTGTAATCTAAATTCCTGTGATCTGCCACTTTAGGAATAATATGTTACCTAAAGGGGCATGGACTATAGGCCACTGGAGAAAGAACTAAAATAGATAAGTGAATAGGTAAACACATCTATAAAAAATTCATTGCTGTTCGGCTCTTCTCAGAGCAAGTAAGCCCTGATTCTACATGGTCCTCATCACCAGGCCTAAGAGAAGCCTCAGGCTGCCTTGCCTCCCTAGAGTTCTTTTCCATAAAGCCCAGACCCTTTTGTTTTAATTATGCATTCATAAATCAAATGACCTGATCCACATTTTGGACTCAGGAGAATTTTACAGGGGATAACCCTGGTAAGATGGCAATTCTCTGTTCCCTAGCTAACTGGTCTGTTTTCAAAAGTAATTAGTTGGTGTCTTTTAATCTATCTTGTTAGGCTGGTAAAATCATGATAAGCTAGAGTGGCAGTGACGTCACTTAGAAGCAACTTCGAAAACCACACTTGGGGCTTACCAGGACTGAGGTGCTCCCTCTGGGGAGTTATTACAAAGACCTTTCTGTAACTGCTGAGTTCTAGCTCTGTCTCTCTCTGTGTCTCTGTCTCTCTTTGTGTCTCTCTGTGTGACTCTGTGACTCTGTGACTCTGTGACTCTGCCTCTCTCTCTCTCTCTCTCTCTCTCTCTCACTCTCACTCTCTCCCTCCCTCCCTCCCCTAACACTGTCTCTCTATCATTTCCTCTTTCTGAAAATGAACAGCTGTAGGCAAGGGAAGACTCCCAATGCCAGGCGTGTGAAAGTACCTAATTCAAAGGACAGACACAGCTGATCTTTCATTTTTCCCCTACTCTTGTTCAAGGACAAGAAGCCAGTGAGGGGAGACAGCCTGACCTGCAGTGACCTGTTGGGAACAGAGTCCAGACTTGGAAGGACTTTGAGTTACGACTTAAGCATTTTCTCTTGTGAACCATTGTCTAGCTGCTCCCTACAGCCTGAGCCACCTGAGATAAGGTGCTGAACAATCAGTGGGGAACTGTGGACTGCTTTCTATTCTTCTCAGTTCCCTCTTCAGCCGCCTCCACCCAGCTTCGTTAAACACTGCTTTGATGATATTCAGAGGGATACTGATACCGATACTCCTCAAACTGTTCCACACAATACATACAGAAGGAACATCGCCAAACTTTTTTTTTTTAATGAGGCTACAGTTACTCTGATACCAAAACCACACAAAGATGCAACAAAATAGAGAATTACAGAGCAATCTCCCTCATGAACACTGATGTGAATATACTAGCAAACCAAATCCAAGAATACATCAAAAAAATCATCCACCATGATCAAGTAGGCTTCATCCCAGAGATGCAGGGATGGTTCAACATATGAAAATCTGTCAATGTAATCCACCACATAAACAAACTGAAAGAAAAAAAAAAACATATGACCATCTCATTAGATGCTGAAAAAGCCTTTGAAAAAAATCCAACACCTCTTCACGATAAAGGTCTTGAGAGATCAGGGATACAAGGAACATACCTAAACATAATAAAAACAATATACAGTAAACCAACAGCCAACATGAAATTAAGTGGAGAGAAACTCAAAGCCCATTGTGGATGGTGTAGTGGTTGGGCTGGTGGTCCCAGGTTCTATAAGAAAACAAGGAAGGCAAGCCACAAAGAGCAAGCCAGTAAGCAAGACTCCTCCAAGGCCCTCCATCAGCTCCTGTCTCCAGGTTCCTGCATTGTTGGAGTTCCTACCCTTATTGCCATTGATGATGTACTGTGACATAATAAACAAAACACTCTTTCCTCCCCAAGTTGCTTTTGGTCATGGCGTTTCATCACAGCAACAAAATCCGTGACTAAGACACTCTGCTGTGCTTCCCCTCCTGAGACGGATTGTCCCCTGTTAAACAGTAGGCCAGAATGTCTCTTGCTGCTCTGGCAGAGGACCTGGCTTTTGTTCCCTGCACCCACATTGGGAGGCTCCCAACTACCTGTAACACCAGCTCCAAGAGATGCAACCACCTCTTCTAGCCTCCCTGGGCACCTCCACAGGTGACATTCGCACTCACACACTTATACATATACATAAGTAAAAATGAATCTTTATTTAAAGTTGCAAGTGATTTCTAGTAAGTTCATTTCAAGCAGCCCAAAAGATGGGTCTTTGGTGTTCTTGGTTAATATGCAGACATTTTATTTTCTCTCAAAATCTATTGCTTCTAGGCTATGCTTTCATTTCATAAATTGGGACATGGCAGCATTCTCAGTCAAGAAGATTTTTATGGGACTAGCCTTTGGATCATTCCCTCTGTAGGTAAAAGAAGGTACCTCCCTCTTCTTAGCTGATTGTATTTAGTAAAACTTGGTTGGTTATTTTGGAACATACTCCTTGATTTGTTTTGTTTTTTGTTTTTGTTGTTTTGTTTTGTTTTTTTGAGATGGTTTTTTCTGTGTAGCCCTGGTTGTCCTGGAACTCATTCTGTAGACCAGGCTGGTCTTGAGCTCAGAGATAAACCTGCCACAGCCTCCTTAGTGTTGGGACTTAAGACATCCGCCACCACCAGCTGCTTATTGTGGTTTTAATTGGACCTCTTAGGATGCTTTGCTCCATTCCTTCCCCATCTCACTGAGAGATGCAGCCATCCATTGCACTATAAGACCAAACCTAGGAGTCATCCTTGAATCTGCTCCCCTCCCCCACAGCAGCAATCCTGTCATTTCTATTTCTGAATATCTTCTTTTCTCTTGATCTCTAAGGCTACATCCAGGGTCTAAACCATTATTTCCTCTCAGAGTTTTCCTTCTATCTCCATCCTTGTTTGCCAGCATCCTTAACCACTGTATACACAGACTCAAAAAACTCAACAAACAGGGCATCCATTCATTCTAGAAGCCCTCATTGCGAAGCTGGCTATCTCATCTGGCCCAATCTCTTGCATACCAGACTCCAGTCAGTGGGCCATGTTCTCATCTTCCATATTGTCAATGGGCTGTTGCCATGAGCATCTCATTCTCCCTTCAGATCTCTGCTCAGAGGTATCACTTTCATGGAGAGGGCTTGTGCAAATTAGTCCCCACACATAATCAATACTAGGCAGTTGCTCTCTTATACCATGATTTGTTTTTTTATTGAGCATTAATATAAGAAATAAATCCTGGTATTTATTTACTGTTTTCCTTTCTACTGGTGTATGTTACGTAAAGGCATAGATTTATCCATGGTACCTGTCTATGCAGGATTGATCCTGGAAAGAATTCAAAAGGCATTTTGAGGATTAGTGACATAATTTAGCATACTCAAGGCCCTGAGTTCAATACTCAGTACTGTGTGTGGTGATGCATGCATATCAATTCCAGCACCTGGGACAAAAGAGGCAGGCAGATCGGGAGTTCAAAGTTGTCCTCCGCTATACAGTGGCTTCCAGGCCAGCCTGGGATATTTGAGACCTTGTTTTAAAAGAGTGTTTTGAATGAATACAATGGATAGCTAGACAAAATTATTTATTCTCTTAGAAAAGAAATGTAACTACTACAATAAGAAAATGAATCAGGAGGTACAAAGTTGATGTTCTCACTTTAGGTTGCAGCAAGGATTTTACATGAAGCTAGAGGAGTATCCCTCCAACATGTAGCATGTACTCATAGCTGGGGCGGGGGAGAGGGGTGCAGGCAGGCAGTGTCCAGTGATGGAACCCATCTTCCAAGAGTATGAAAAGTACTAAACACAATAAACAAACATAAATTGTTGGACTAAAACAAAGAGATACTGAGATTGGAAAAGAATAATGTTATGCCAAATAATGATTATAAATACATACCATAATTGAAAATGTCACAAAATGAAAATTACATGTATCATTATTAATTTTTCCTTTGCACCTTCCACAGAAACATTTTTAGAAAACCTGAAAGCCAAGGAACACTCGGGAGTTTTTATGTGGCAGGCAGGAATTTTGCCTTTTTAATGGGTATAAAAATCTCAGTGCAGCCGGGCGGTGGTGGCACACGCCTTTAATCCCAGCACTCGGGAGGCAGAGCCAGGCGGATCTCTGTGAGTTCGAGGCCAGCCTGGGCTACCAAGTGAGTTCCAGGAAAGGCGCAAAGCTACACAGAGAAACCCTGTCTCGAAAAACCAAAAAAAAAAAAAAAAAAAAAAATCTCAGTGCAGAGAAAACACATTTTTCAACACTGATTTCATAAAATTATTCATTCTATTGTATATGTTCAATGTGTATGAAATAGTTTCATTTCTTCACATATTAATTTTAAGAAGTACATTCAGAGAATTGATGAACTTAGAATGAAAAGCAAACACAGGAATAAGAAAGACAAAGAGAGTCAGTAACAGCACCCTCAGGGGTAAGGCGGGTCATTTAGAAACACCAGCTTCTGCTGGTTTTCCCTTTCTCATAGATGTTCCGAACTACAGTAAGGGCAGCCCAGTGCAGGGTCGTCTAAAAGCAGCTTGACATTTCCAGGGTTCAAGTCCAGGAAGCATGGACCTCCGTTGCTGTCACAGCTGAGGCACCCATCTGCACCAATCCAGAGCTTGCGAGGCTAGGTTTCATAGGACAAGAGAGCAGCGTGTTCCTCCTCTGTGCCAGTGATGTTCTGAGCTTTAGATCTACAGTGTGGAGGGAAAAAAAAAAGAAAGAAAGAAAACAGTACCGATTGTCTTAAGAAAATTGAGCATAGCTAGGCATGGTGGCTCATGCCTTTGATACCAGCACTCAGCAGGCAGTAGTAGGTGGATCTTTGAGTTTGCCCAACCTGGTCTACAGAGTAAGTTCTAGGACAGCCAGGACTACACAAGAAACCATCTTGAACCCTATCCCACCCCTGGAAAAAAAAAAACCTAAACATTAAGTATCTACATCTCCACCCAAGCACCGCTTTGGACATGCCTATCAAGCAAGGAGTCTTAGGATCCCAGAAATCTAAGAGCAAGAAAGGATGGGAAATAATATTTCTTTTCTACACTCATGAGCTAGCTTCTTTTAAGGGAAAGGGAGTCCGGAAAGCTGATCATACCTTCTTCTGGTCTTTGAATGCTCCCAGAGATAAAATAAGCCCATCGCAAGTCCCTTTAACACAACGAAATGCACTGTTAAAGAAAATCCTCCATGACAAGTATCTCCAAAGTGTAAGGAAATGGAAGAAACCCCACACAAATCCAGGATTACTCACACTTATGAGAGCCCATAGGCCTTGTATAGCTGCTGCCCACTCGAAACCAATTTTCTCATACAGAAATCCGCCCAGCACTGGTCCCATGAAAGCACTGATCATGGAAAGAAGAATAGGTGAGTATCTAACAATGCAAAAACTACTTTATAAAGATGTGTGACACTCCAGTTACTGGTCTTCCTTAAATTAAAACAATAAAGGCTAAATAGATAGGGAGATTCTCAGGCATAAGTAAGAGGTCTAGGCCTGGGTGTGGCTCATTGGTAGAGCACTTGCCCACAGTGTGGAGGGTGGAGTTTGATCCCCAGATCCAGTACTGAGATGGGAGAGAGAAGAAGAGAAAGAAAGAATTATGATTATTAGACAGTTGTAAACGTGGAATTACAGCTGTGAAGTTGGTGGCCTACATAACAATAAAAACAGTAGCACGTGTTTAAAAGAATCTTTCTGTTTCATGGGTAGTGGTGCACACAACAATACCATAAGAAAGTCAGAGGACAACCCTGTGGAACAGGTTCCCTTTTTCTTTCTGTCTTTATGTAGGTTTGAACTCAGGTCTTCAGGCTTGTGTGGCAAGTACTTTGCCTGCTCAGCCATCTCACTGGCCCACTATTCTTTCTATACTTATTAACTGAATTAGTTCAGTGCATAGTTGTTGCCTTTGTATGTATTAGATTGCTACTATACAGTGCATTGTCTGATCTGTTAGGAAGTAAATAAACAATCAAACAAGCGAGCAAGTGAATCAATAAAGGAATGCATTTTAAAAGTCTGAGATATATCGCATCTCGGCCTTTTGGCTAAGATCAAGTGTAAAAGTCTGAGATATGCTTCAGCTAAAGGAATTTTTAAGTATTGCTCAAAGCAAGGACCATGAAGGTACCTTAGTTTGGTATGATGTCTGCTACTAGATTTTGGAGTCACAGGTTGTGAATTAGAAATCTCGCTCTGCCCTAGATGGGCTTTTGCCTTAGACAATCTCATGGACCTTTTTGGTGTTTCAATTTTCCATCTGTAACATGCAGAGAGAACTTTCCATCTCTCAGGTGCAAATGAATTCACTTACCCAACTGACCACACGGCGCCAGTAAGACCAGATACAAGTCCCAGCGTACTTATTCCCTCTTCAAACCCATTTTCACTGCAGAGAAATATGGACAGATCCATCATGAAAAGGAGAACTTGTGTAGAAAAATTGTGTGACAGATACATTAAGATAAACCACATATAATCTGAAGAAACTAAATATAAGAGTATTCCATTCTAAAGTAAGAACTCATCTGGGAGCTGGAGATGTAGCTGAATGGTAGAGTGTAGGCTGTCATGCCCAAGGCCTTGGACTGAAACACCAGCACAAAACAAATATCAACCCTACACAAAGATTGTAGGCAACTGAAGAAGGCTGGGAGTGGGAGAGGTACACTTCCCCAGGGAAGAGTACACCAATTGTTTGTCCAGTGCCAAATGGTCAGCCCTGAAAACATACATACATGAAACATTATACTGACTGTACCGGGTATATATATTAGGAATATATATATATATTTATATTTATACAAATGCACATATGCATGCAACAACAACGAAGAAAGAGAACATGAATTGGAGAGTGTAGAGGGGTATATGGGAGGGTTTGGAGAGAGTAAAGGAAGGGTAAAATGTAATTATAATCTCAAAAATTAAAAACAAATAGATAAAATATGTAAATCAAATTTGAAGGCATTTTCATAAAATAACCTGATTTTACTACATCTATCTGTATAATAGCAAGAATCATCACTCATTTGCATTAAATGCTAATTAAGTACATAATTAACTAAGAAATTCTTAAAATAGGATGAAGAGAACAAGGGCTGCTCTAAGAAAACAGAACCAGCTCTTTGTCCTCTGAGTGTCATTGAGAAACCCCAGCACAGTCAAGACCTTAGTGTTCATGAACATGCCATACACAAAGGAACAATGGTCAAGCGACAGATGGCTGGTCACCCTGTGCTCTTGTATGATTCTCCTCCATGCACAGGGGCAACTCTGAAACTTCTCCATTTGGTTCTGGACTTCTAAAACTATTCACACACACACACACACACACACACACACACACACACACCCCACCTGAGACATACAACAAGCCAAGCATCTCCCTTTAACCGATTTTAACCAACTATACCTTTTCTATCTTTTAGCATATAATGTCACTATGTTATTTTCAATATGGTTCCACTATTACTTATATGATTTATATCGCAATATTTATATGCCATGAAATCATGAAGATATATTATTGGGCAAATATCCAACAATCTATGGGACTGAACAAGTGAGGTGAAACTGATTGCCTATCCCTCCACCCTCACCCCTCATTCCCTTAGCCCACCCCCCTGCCCTCACCACCACACCCATCACTATAGAGCTCCTCAAACAACACAGAAACTTACTGTGCACAACTGAGTAACTCTGGGAAAGTGGGGATGATAGTCATTCCAGCAGAGACGCCATGTACGACTAACACCAGCACCATGAGCCAGAGCTGACTGCAGAAGAATTGGGAGGAAATGAAAGCGTTAGTATTTTAAGAGACACAAACTTAAAACCGAGGGCAGGGTCGTAGAGAAGTTATCTTCACAGATAGTTCACTTGTTTCGCTCCCATTTCCATCTTGTCCCATTCCATTCAGTGAGAGCTCATGTTAGCACCTGCCACCTCTGCAGCAAAAGCATCTCCTGGGTCATCTACAATCACTTTTGCTCCCACGTTTCACACACACGTGTTTAGTCATACATATTACACATCTGCAACCAGCCGGCTCTCCACCATAACAAAATCATACATATTACACATCTGTAACCATAATTAAATTCTCTCAACATCAATGCTGTTGTTCATCTAATCATTTCATCTTGAAATTCAATTAAACAATGACAAAGAGGGGGGGCAAAAGAAGAGACTAGAAACTGACAGATATTCTGTGTTGGACTCCATCTAAGTGCCTGGCAGACATTATGCATGTAATTCTTATGTTGTTGTTTTATTTTGTTTTGTCTTGTACCAGCGTGGCCTCGAACTCACAGAGATCTATCTGCCTCTACCTCTGGAGTGCTGGGATTAAGGGCCTGGCTTGTCATATATGTATTAGCTTTAGTTCCTTTTTAAATCACGTTTATTTATTTTGGAGGGGGTATGCCACTATATGGGTAGGGGGAGATGAGTGAACAGCATGAATAAATCAGTTCTTTCCTTCCACCATGTAGCTTATGGAGTTAAATCCTGGAGTTTTAACTCAAGTTTCCAGGCTTGGCAGCAAGTATCTTAGTGTGCTGACTATGTGGCTGGTCCTGGCTTTTTTTTATAGACAAGAAAGCTTAGGCTCTTGCAAGTTAAGTGATTTATTTAAGTTCCACTGCCAGTGACAGAGCCAAAATCCAAACCCAGATCCAAAAGACTCTGAAATCGCCCTCGTCCCATGATGCTATTTTATCCCAGAAGCATGTGAAGAAGTCAAGAAGCTCACTTTGTTTCAATAAATAAATTAGAGCAAATAAGCTTTAATGAGCAGCTACTACATGCTATAGATGACCCAGAAACAATAAAAGCCTCGGTTACCCTCTCAATGTATGAGAAGGAAGACTCAGAAAAACACAATCATATTCTCTTAAGTATTAAGCAAAGGTTGTTAGCAATAAATGTTATTTTGAAAATAATTTCAAATAACTGTGCAGTTGAAACACAGAAGACCCAGTAATGTGGTGCAATCTTAGCACTTGAGAGGGGGAATAAGGAGGATCATGAATTCAAAGCCAGCCTCAGTTAACAGAACTAAACAAAAAACTCCAGGAGTCCAACCGGCGAGAGAGAGAGAGAGAGAGAGAGAGAGAGAGAGAGAGAGAGAGAGAGAGAGAGAGAGAGAGAGAGAGAAAGGATTATATAAGCAAGAGAAATCAAGACCATGACCAGAAAAAGCACAGGGACAAATAGTCAAACTAGTGGAAACACGTGAACTGTGAACCAATGGCTGAGGAGCCCCCATGGAACTGGACCAGGCCCTCTGGATAAGTGAGACAGTTGATTAGCTTGAACTGTTTGGGAGGTCCCCAGGCAGTGGGACCGGGACCTGTCCTTGGTGCATGAGCTAGCTTTTTGGAACTTAGGGCCTATGCTGGGACACTTTGCTCAGCCTGGGTGCAGGGAAAAGGGGACTGGACCTGCCTCAAATGAATCTACCAGGCTGGGCTGAATCCCCAGGGGAGACCTTGCCTTGGAGGGGTGGGAATGGGGGTGCATTGAGGAGGAGGGCTGGGGGTGGGAGGAGGGAGGACAGGGGAATCCATGGCTTATATGTAAAATTAAATTAATTATAAAATAAAATATTTATAAAAAAAAACAAAAAATACTTTATAGATGAAAATCAATGTTTTTCTCATTTGATAAAGATTGAATGTCTTAAGATTTGTAAACTGCTGTGAGCTTCTAGTGAATAAAGCATTGTCAGTCACACAAACAGTTCAATACAATCCTAAGTCAAAGTCATCATTTAAATAGCAATGCTTGCAGTACTAAGCCACTTAAAAAAATTAAATAATTACTAGTACTATTTCTCCAAAAGCACAAAAAAACACGGAACAAGACAAGTTACCTTTTAATGTGCAAAATGGGGACAGGTCCTAAGAGCATGTAGCACCCAGCTGTGATTAAGTTTCCAAAAATCAGAAACCATTTCCTGAGATTCTGGTAAAGAGAAAGAGTTCAAAGCATAAACCAAAGGACCCTCTGCAATCAAACAATATAAAAAATTACTCTAATGAGAGTAATGACATCCAAAACCCCAACACACTGAAGCAAATGAAACTCTACATTTAAGAGAGAACAGGCAGATGAAAAATGTAAAGGCAAGGAGGATATTTTGCAAAATGGTGGGATGAGCAAAGAAGTTCCCTAGGAAATGGGGTACATTACAGAATCTTGGCACATCATGAACTATTCCAAACATGTAAGAATTTAAAAAGCAGTCACCTCAAGGAACTTGCAATATGTCACAATACCCAGGCAAAACACATTATTTAAAAGTATCTACTGCAGAGAGACTGAATGGAATCCCTCCCCACCAAGCCCCAGGTTCATATGCTATTCTAGTGCCTAATCTGATGGTGCGTGGAGGTCAGCTTTGGAGAGGTGATGTAGTAGTGAAGGAGGAACCCTCATGACTGGGATCCACACTCTCACAGGAGAAGTCTCTGAGAGCATTTCCCACTCTTCCACGTGGGGTTTCTGTGAGTCAGAAGTGGCCTTCAACACCAAGCAGGAGCCTGGATCTTGCAAAACTGCGAGAACTAAGTATCCTTTGTTTATGTGTGCTCCGGGTCTTTGATATTTTGTTATGGCAGTCTAACCAGTCAAAGATGGCATCTAATAAAAACTAGCCCTTCTAAACTGCTTAACTCAGGCTATGTCTTTCTTTTTAAAGCAAGGAGCAATGTCTTGCTATATGGCCCTGACTGGCATTGAACTATCACTTAGTCCTCTGGCCTTCCAGGTGCTAGGGTAACTAACATTTGCCACCATACCTGGCTTAAGATTATGTCTTAATACTTAACTCCAAACATTGTTTAAGATGTTAGCTTTTAGGGGTCTGGAGAGATGGCTCAGTGGTTAAGAGTTCTCTCAATATTGTCCCAAGTCAAAAATCACTGTTTAAATATTAACACTTACAATACTAAGGTCATACTAGTACTCTTCTAAGGACCCAAGTTTGGTTCCCAGCACCTGTGTCAGGGGGCTCACAAACGCTAGAAGTCCAGGTCCAGGAGATCCAATGCTCTCTTCTGGTCTCTGAGGTCACCCATATACGTGTGGCATACACATACACAGACACATAGGCATACACACAAACAAAAATGAAGGTAAATCTTTTAAAAAGTGAAACCATTAGCTTTTTGTTACTTGGGTTACTAAGTGCTTGCCCCATAACATATACATCTTATGAATATATATGCAAAGCTAATGAGAGAAAAATGCAAAATCTAAGCACTAAAGCTGCAGAAACAGCCATGGAAATGGGAGGTCTAGTTCATGGTCCTGTTTCTGCATATCAGTCATGCAGACTGAATGGGTTAGGCCAAATTGAAAGAGAGCAGAAGAGATTCACTTCAAGATGGGTACGGAATGGTTCATGCACAGTTGCAGGGCCACTTTTTCATACCCTCTTTCTAAGTCAATTTCCCTCCATCAGTTTATAACCTGATCAAGTCCAATAACTCTCAAGAGCCCAAAACTCTGCCCTTGTTATTAGGATCAGGGTTTCTGTTTTATGTTTTGTCTGGGTCGTTAAGGAAGTTTTAGAAGGTATAATACTAACCAGGCTTGTCATATCAACAACAGACCGTGATCCTGACTCTGGGAAGATTGAGCAAGGGGACTGAGTTCCATATCAGCCTGGGCTGTATAGTGAGGTCTGTCTTAAAAAAATAAAAATAATAATCTCATGGTCTAGTAGTTTCCAGCAGATTTAGCATCAGACTCTTCTTTATATGAAATACTAAACTTGAGTCTGCTGAGAGGAATGGCTGAGGCCGGGAGACACCGGACTCTCTCTACCAGGCCAACTGAAGGTGTTTGCTTTAAGGAAGGGACCTTAAAAATTCTGGAGAAGTGGCTGCACACCTAAACATGCAAAAGCAACTCAAATATAAGTCAGGATACATACAGGCATCCTATCACTGAGGAGACCAAGCAGTGGTGACGAAATGGTGTAGGACAGATCTAGACCCAGGAAGACCAGTCCCACGTATCCAACTGGCAAATTGAACTGGAAAAGAGATTCCATGTTAGAGCAGCATGTGAAGTCCCTCTTTAATATAAACACACCCATTTCTGTCCTTCTCTTCCTCAGCTCTATTCACAGAAGTCTATCAGTTACACCCACATTTGTATTGTTCGGCTGTCCATAGCTGTGACTAAGACACCCAAGAGAACAATATAAAGGAGTGGATTATTTATTTTGGCTCATGGTTTCAGAGCATCATGGTAGGTATTTATTTGTTGACATTATTTCCTGGGCATGAGAAAATACGAGGTACAATGGAACCCACTATAAGAGTTTTTATCAGGGAAGAGAAAGAGTGGAAGTGGGTAGGCATACTGAAAAAAAGTGTGTGGGGGGGGGGGGGGGACGGGAGGGAGAGAGAGAGAGAGAGAGAGAGGGGGAGAGAGAGAGAGAGAGTGAGAGAGAGAGAGAGAGAGAGAGGGGTACATGCCACCTCTGGTGAGAGGGAGAGAGAGTGGGAGCAGGTCAAGCCTGCTTTTATATATCACCTAGTGCTTGCATAAATGAGCTTACGTAGCTACGCCATGCATGTGCATAGATTATGTGATCACGATGCATGTAGATTACGTGACCACACTTTACGTGGATTATGTAGGATGTAAGCTTGACTACTGACAGCGCATGGGCGGTCATGTGACTCCAGAAGTGGCTAAGAATAACAGTAGGGAGGGTGTGGGAGAGCAGAGAGCTTACAGGATAGCAGCCAGGAAGCAGAGAGAGAGGATGCCTGTGTTAACTGGCTTTCTCCATTCTTCCCTTTTTTCATCCCAGCCCCAGCCTCTGAGATGGTACTGCCCACAGTCAGGGCATTCCCGGCTTAGTCAGTGCTAAGTAAACTCAGTGTACCCAGAGGTACACTTTACTAATTTCCTAGGCACTTTCCCATCCAATCAAGTTAACCATCAAGATTAGCTTTCCTAGAATTCCTCCTAACTTTGTCTTACTTTGTACTGGGAATGGGTAAATACTTTTTTTAAGAGGGGAAAAAAATTCCAACCACTTATTGGACATCTTAGAAGTTTGGTATTGTAGCATTTGATAGTAAACATATAATTTTATTTCTACAAATTGCATTTTCATATACAGTGTTTCACAATTTTATGTATACAACGATTCATACACAGAGCTTGTTAAGTGATCATCTTGGATCTTAGCCCCAGGTTTGGTGTTGGTGGGGGTGGGGCATGCAGGAGGGTGGTGTGTCACAGGGAAAAGCAAATTAGCTAGTATGAATTCAACATTTATGTTTCAGCAGTGGAGACTCTTGGTTCCTTTCTCCTATTCTGTAGTATAGAACATAGTCATCATATTATAACAAATAGCTAAAAGTTAAGTGGACCCAGAGGACATTGGGGAGAGAAGGATATCTCACATCAAAAGACCTAGTGAGTACTCCTAATGCCTCATTACCACTCACAGAAGAAGAGAAAATGTGTCATAGTTAAGCAACATGGGAGATGCCCTCGTAGACATGGAATGCCGTGAGCAAGGTCTTGGGTAGGAGGAGACATTAGAGGAAGATTCTTTCTTTCTTCCTAGTGGATCAGACCCCCAGATCACAGAGTCATACCCTAGCTCAAAGGAATATCACTGAGGGAAAATATAGTTTACCAGAGAACGCAGCTGCCTGTTTACCTCCTTCTCCCAGCTGAAGGTCTTCCCCTAAAGGAAGAGCCCAAGGGCACCATAATCATGGCCACCTGTACAAAGCAGAGCTCCAGCAGGCTGCTTACCTTCTCCAAGATGAAGAGAGAGAGGATTGGCTCGAGGAAGCCGAAGCAAGAGCTGAGGGAGATGATGACGAAGGCTATGAGACCGACCTTGGGTAATGAGACAAGTTTCCAGAAGGAGTGTTCACCTGGATCCGACTCTGTGGGTTAAAGATAAAAACAGAAATACACCATTGCAATCCTTATCTCTTAGCTTTATCGTTTAACTTACTTTGAGAGGCAAAGCTGTTAAGACTGTCTGGTAGTAGAAATAGCTGCACCTCTGAATTGTCTGGAATTAAATATTATCATCTACCCTAACCCTCTTCAGCTGTAGAAGCCACAACTGATTTCATTTAAAGGACTGACTTTTATCCTGGCATCTCTATACTTGTAGGGTAGGAGGGTCAGGAATTCAAGGTCATCCTCAGCTCCACGGTGAGTGTGAAGTCGTCCTGGGCTACATAAGACTCATCTCAAAAAACAAACAGCAAAATCCCCAATTAAAAAACAATCCTTGAGCTTTCAAATACAGATCCTTAAGTTTTCAAATACAATGAGAAGCAACTGGAGTCAGGGTGTGCAGGGAAGTTTTTAAGTTACAGTCTGGAAGTAAGGTCATCTGAAGGGGATAGTGCAAGACACCCCTGCAGAAAAAGAGCCGTCCAAGCTTCGCCCAGTCTGTGTGTGTATGCTTAAGGAGGGACTCACCTTTGTTTTGTAAAACAAGACATAGTTATTTTTCTGAGGTCAAAATAAACGCTACATTGAGGGACTGGAAGGATGTGTTACTGAATCTTGTGTGAACTACTTTTATCATTTAAGATTAGTACTTCCATTCTCCTAACAGTCAGTAATCCCTGTTCATGCCTCTCTGAATAGCAGGCATGGCTACCTGCAAGCCTCTGGGCATAGTGACTGCTTTATTCTCTCTTTAGGAAGTTTTCAACACTGACCTCGGGTCCTGGGAAGACCAGGAAGTGCTCTAAACCATGCCGTCATCTCTCCGGCTCCCCAGGCATATTATTTAAGAAAGAGATCATTGTGGAAAAGTATGTGGTGACTGTGTGGCTCTTAAAATACGCTTAGGAGTCTAAGAAATCACTGGGGAGTCCACAAAGAGAACAGCTCAGGCACTTGGCGCAGAGTCCTGTCACCTGCCTCTCAGGAGCTTAGTTAGAATTGGTTACTGTGATCCGGTACAGAGACTACACTGGATGTGAACACGGAACTTCACTGAGGGTCGGGATCAGCACTCACAGACCTTCATTTTGCCTACAGCAGGCATTCATCATTATTCACAACACCCATGCACATGCAAAGTCCCAAAATTCAAAAAGTGTACAAGCTTCTGCTATTTTCAGTAATATTCTCAGGAAGTTTTCAGAATACAGAGATTAAGTCAAGACTATCAGCCTGTTACTCAAAAGCACAGCCCTCATTCAACTCCCAAACTGCAGTATGTGTTGTTGTAGAATATTATTTCAAGGTGTGTTACTTTTGTTTATGCTCTGGAATGTTTGTTTAATGATGCAAAGGTGTGTTTGATTAAATAAAATTTACCTGCTGTCAGGAGGCTATGTCATTAACTAGCTGACAGGAAGTGGGAGGGAGGAGCCAGGTAAGAAAGGGTTTATAAAGAGGGGTGAGGCGTTGAGGGCTTTTTGGAGGATGAGAGCAAGGAGAGGAGGTGAACTTCTTGCTATTCAGCCGCGGAAGAGCAGAATTCCACCTTAACCTTTGAATCTTGAGTTCTTTAGAGAGAGAGAGGTTTAGTTAAGTTCCCTTCATAGCTTTGAGAGAGTTGGAGCCGAGCCGGCAAGAACAGATTTCCCTCTGGCTACAGCCCTTGTGGCCTAACCACTGCTGGGAGCTGAGGAATTGCAGTTGCTAATTCAGACAGCTGTGGCTTAAAAGGCAGTAACCTTTTAATAAAAGGACAACAGTATGTGTTTCAACTTAGAGAGGGAACAAGTGCCACCTTGTGGCACAAAGAGATATTGCCAGCCGAGAGTCAACCAGGTGTGAATTTTGAATTGTATTGAATTTGAATTGAAAATTACAAAAGGTGGGCTGCAGAGATGACTCAATGATGAAGAATAGTTCTCTTCAGTTTCCAGTACCCACATATAGTGTCTCACAATCACCTGTAGCTCTGGCTCCAGGAGATCCCATGCCTCTGGTCTCTGTGGGCATCTGTACTTATACACACCTACTAACACCCATACACATACTTTAAAATGATGACAATAACAGGGTGGTGGTGCTGCACACCTTTAAGTCCAGCACTATAAAGGTAGAGGTAGTCAGATCTCTGAGTTTGAGGCCAGCTTGGTCTACAGAGAGAGAGTTCAGGATACCCAGGGATACACATACACACACACACACACACACACACACACACACACACACACACACACAAATAATAATAATAAAAATTAAAATTAAAATAATTTTTAACTATAAAAGATTTTAGTTTTAGTCTATTACATTTCCTGTGCATACAAAAAGCATTATCTGTCAACAGTATATGGCTCAGTGGTTAGGAACACTGGCTGCTCTTTCAGAAGACGTAAGTTCAGTTTCCAGCAGCCACGTGGCAGCTCACACCCATCTCTAACTCCAGTTTTGGGGGATATGGTGCCCCTTTTCTGACCTCTGTGGGCACTGGCAGGAGACATGCACTTAGGGGCTCCCTGCAGGTGTCATACATCGAACCTCACAGCATGAAGAATGCTCCCCCCCCCACACACACACACACCCTGTGGTTGGTTTAATAAAAAGCTGAACAGCCAATAACTAGGCAGAATTTCCGGGCACAGAGGACACTGGAGAAAAGAAGGGCAGAGACACAGAGAAAACAGGATGGGATATATGGAGGTGAGATAATAAAGCCATGAGACAAAAAGTGAATTAATAGAAATGGGTTAGTTTACGTTATAAGAGCTAGTTAGAAACAAGCCTAAGCTATCAGCTGAGCTTTCATAATTAATACATCTCCATGATGTTTTGTTGTTGTTGTTGTTGTTGTTGTTATTGTTGCTTTTGGTTTTTGGGGTTTTTTTTTGTGTGTGTGTGTGACCTGTAGACCCAAAAGAAAGTCCATCTATACACAGCTATGTAGAGAGACCTCATTAAAAAGATAAAAAAGG